AGAAGTAGAGGTTTGTCAGAACCTATGAGTCCTGTGCAAACAGAGTTATCTCCCGCTATCCCCGCCATACTGTCTAAAGCCAAGGGACTGCTTATAAAGAAACTCAAACCATCATCTGACGATCAGTCACCTTCGCCTTCCTCATCATTGTCTCCCATTACACCATCTTACGAGAGTACTGTGCTTTATACAGAGGAAGAGGTGGAGGAAATTAAGCTTCCGAAAGAAGTTGCGGAACTGATTGAGTGTTCCTCTAAGGCACGGTAAGTCATTGCAGTTAGCTCTGGAAAAACGGTGACAGCGGTTTAAGAATGTAACGACCTCTGATGTCAAGTATATGAAATAATTCATTATGAAATAATTCATAATTCATTTACTGCGATGATCATTCTTCACTTTCGTAAAGACCTCTGTAAGGTGGAAACTGGTAGTGCAGTGAATCAGCTCTGTAGAGCAGACACATCTGAAGTGCAGACATATCAGGCTAAAGCTTGGATAACTCTTTCCATTGGATAAATCACTAGGTTGTGGATTTGTGTTAGGGAAACCAGTGGATAAACTAATTACGCTGTCCAGTGGATAGAGATTTATCTAGTGGATAGCTTTACCTGGGGCTTGTAGGGGGGCGAGACACTTGTGTAAGTTCGTGTAAGCAGATACCTATATAGGGCATATTTTGAAAATAAACGTCTATTAAACGAACCTCATATTTATTCAATTTCTTTTTTCTGTCAAACCGACCCGTGTTTGGAGGACACGTTTTAGTGGTCAATGGCGAGAGTCTAGCCAGTGTCCGCACCTTACTGGTTTCACCGAATATATAAGTCAGTCACTTTTTGGGGAAGACACCGCTGTAGGACAGTCTCCTCTTGAGGGCAGACACCTTTTTTAGACAGTCAACTCTGTAGCAAAGTCACCTCTGTGACACAGACCTCACTGGAAGGTAGACATTATGGTAGGGTAGCCATCTCTGCAGACGCCTCTCTAAAGCATACAGCCCTGTAATGTAGACACTTCTGAAAAGCAGTCACTGATGGCTGTGACGTTACAGTAGGTAAAGTGGACGCTTACCTGTGCGGACATGTAGTTGCAGTCCCGAGGGGTTGTAATTGAGAGGGAGGTTCACGGTATTAATTTATAGTAAAATTCAACCAGTGGTCTATTATCAATTCTGCGTTCTGATTGATTGAGCTACTACTAGGCTATATGTTGTAGCCCACTAGTAGCGAAAAGCGCCGGCTTTGAAAACCAAAACAATGGCGGCTGAATCGCGTTTTGCTAGCTAAAGTTGTTTTGTCTCGATATTTTTGACCAACTAGTTGAATTTTACTAAAACAACTATTCCTCTCGCTCTCATAGCCTCTGCGGCAATAGCACATTCGGCCTTCGGCCTCATGGGCTATTGACTCAGAGCCCATTCGAACTCGAGGAATAATTGTTAAATAAACTTAAATGTTTCTCCTTTAACGTGCCATGGAAGTGCGAACTTCAACCAAACGGAATGCAGACTGGTGTACTTACACCAGCGGCCTTTTGTTTTCAGGTGTGACGTGAAAAACCCAGTTGTCCTCTTTAGTATCACCAGTCTATGCCGCGTCTTAGAGGAATGGATCCCAAAACTTCATCAGGCCATGAAAAGCTGTTTAGAGATGACCGATGGAGATGATAGCGGCTTGAAATGTTTCCTAAGTGCAACTGCTTTTGAGGATGTGTCATATCTAGCACAAATGTGTTTTGATTGTGGTGTTTATGGAGGCGAAGGTTTGCAGTCTTTTGAGGATGTTGTCAGAAGCAAAGGAACTACCACCAAGACACCGTTAAGTGGTTTCCCGGTGGAACAAGATAAATCGGAAACTAATGATGTGGTTATTTTAATTTCCGATGATACTAATAAACCGAAATCTAATAGAGAATCAGATCAATTAGCTTCAGAAAGTATCCCAACTTCGCATGGTGATGTGAGGGCAACAAAATCAAGTGAGGGTCATTTGCTCTCAGGTGGGACCAACCCATCTTCACTGAGCACGGGCGAATTTTCGCCTCCATCCATACGTTTAAGTGTTGTTAAGGACGAAAACTTCGATGCAGAGACGGCAGACGAAGAGTCTGGTAAGAATACTTTAGATACGTTGGGTGAAAATGCGAAACGTCAAACTGACAAACCATTAAACAGAATGCTTGGTGATTCGAATAAGTCACCGAAAAGCTCTGTTGATGAAACTGTTTCCGCGCCTACAGAAATGTCGCAAAATGCCATACTATCACAGGATAGTTCAAGTGGTTTGCAGTCATTGCAAAGTTATGAGCGAATTTGCGTGCAGTGTGAAAATGGAACTACAGTTTTCGAGAACAACGGAGAGCAGGTCTACGATACAAATTTCGATGATGAGACTCGCTCCAGATTCTTGTCCTACCATTTCTGGCTGATGGATGTCAGAAGGCTTAGACGCGCACTCCTCATGAGTAAGGGCGAAAGAAAGAAAACCTGGAGCACCTTTATGGGTTGTCTGTCAGGTGAGTGATGAGTGCAACGCTTTTGTACAGGCACAGCAAACTCTCACACTTCCATGCTAGTATCATCCGGTCCCTCAAGAGAAGATAGTGGATAGAATTAATATATCGATTGTCTGTGATTCCCTCACTTAACAAGTAAAGTCAAACCTAGCGGTCAACCTGTATATTACGGTCACCGGACAACTTCCCTTAATTTTCAGTTGCCTTATATTTTCTACAAAGTTGACCTGTTGCCATTTCCCATGGGTGACCGTTGTAGACAGGTTTAACTGTAGTGAAGAAAACTTACGCTTTATTTCGAAAAATACTTTATTTTATCTTCCAGCAGCTTATTTTCTACTTTTACGTCAGTTCAGTGAGTATTGTGAAAGCAGTATTACGTGAAGTAAATTAAACCATTTTCTGATGAACTGTTTACCCAATAAGTTTCCCCCCTTTTCATTTCTTCGTTCGTTAAAAACGACAGACGGAAATTTGGCTGCCATGAGTCGAATTGTCCCGTCTTTGGCAGACAGGACCCGTAACAAAAAGGCCACTAGATTAGGATTCAAATTTTCCGACGTTTGACGCAACAAAACGCTTCACGTTAAGTGTCTAACTTGAGTCATTCTATAAGTAGGTTGAGTATGATCTTCCGGGTGAAAGACGTCTTAAATAGAACTGTTGTTGACAGTGACTTACGTTGCGGCAACCTGTGCGGTAGTCATCTTCAGAGTCAACGTGATTTGTATCACGTCAGTTCATTGTATTAAACTCTAGTTATTGACCTGATTGGTCAATTAAGTCGCGATGTTATTGGTCGTCTGTCAGTTAAGCCGTGATGTTATTGGCTATGAAGACTGGTAATATCATTGGTGCGTTTCGATCCGTCTATTGTCACAGTTAACAGTCGTTTATTGTTAGTCAATTTGTCGGTATAAGTCGCTTGTACGGTGCCGGTAATTGTTGACTATGAATCAGTGGCGTCGTAAACTAGCTTTCTAAAGTGGTCGTTTCTAAAGTGGGCCTTCAAATCGACTGGGACTCTGCGACATGTATTACGTATTCTACAGACTTCTGTCAGTGACACACTTTAGAAAGCTCATTTACTAATTTAGAACAAATGCCGGACGATCATACTCACCCTACTTATGAAATGACTCCTGGGTCCAAACCTTTCACAGTTTCTGAGTTATTCTATGATATTAATATTGTTCGAGTCCTTAGGTGCTACTCAGATGAGAGGTCATTAGCTGCTCATTATTCTACCTCTTTGAAATCCTATTTCAGTATACCGTATTTCACTATTTCAGGCCGTTATTCTCTGCCCTTTTAGGTCTTGTATCCCCCCATGACGTTATCGCCAAATACATCAAAGAAGGGGACGCTCGTCGAGCTCTTCACGAACTGCATGATGGGATAGATACGTACTGTAACATGTTACTCTATCATCTTACTTGGTAAGTTGAACTACTCCTACAGACCTCGCTATAAGATTAATGTGTTTATGTTCGGAATTTGCATTTATGGCCGCAGTTTGATCCTCTAGGGATTTTACGTCACATCTCGGTATTTAAGCCTTGTCGCCTCTCGCGTTAGTCACTCGACACAGCCAGTTTTACCGCTCGCACTTTGCCGAGCTTAATTTTTCTAGTATGCTGTTTACGTTTAGTCTCGTAGTTTACAGTGAATTTCTTGTACGTTAGCTTTTCTCGTCCCCAATAAACACAACTGGTCGTGTCCTTCCTATTTCTACGTGTTGTTGCCTTTCTGCTGATTAGAACTTAAACGTTTTCTCTGCGGCGGAACGCAGTGACATAGCAGAGAATCTTAAATATATTCGTTCTGTTAAAAGTCGGCATTTCCAAAGTGCGAACACCTCGTAAGTCGTTCTCTTGGCCCCAAAGATATATGTTTTCATGCAATCCCTACCTCTATAATATGCACGCCTGGAATATGAAATATATATATAAAAAAGATACAACGACTATGCTGTAACAATCCTGTCGACAAAATCCTATCTTTTGTTACCATTAAAGTAAAACCTCTTTCGCAGAACTATAAGTACGTATTTATTTCTAAGGATTTTCAAAATTCATATTTTGGGGGAATTTTTTCCTTGAAAGGTTGAAAGAGAAGCAGGCTTTACTGTAATAGAAAAAGTAACTTGCGAACAATTACCTACTGTGGAGGTCAAAAGAGTGTTGGGACCTTTCCAGTAATATTAGTAAAACTGGCGACCTCTCCCCTCCCACCCCAAACAATTTTGAATTTTGAGCAAAATGGGTGGGATGTAACATTGCTAGAAGGAGTGGAGGATGAAGGATGGACCCAAAGCCGATCAATAAAATTAGCAATAGGAGTAGTCTTATGTTACAATTATTTGGAAGAGTTTTTTAGCTGTTGTAGGGAGCAAGGCCTGTATGATTTTTATCTATCTCATCCTTCATCCTTTCTTGTCCTTTGTTTCTTTTTAGTTACTCCCTGTCTCCTGCTTTTAATTTACAGCTTATATGAAAACGACAGTCGCGAGACAATGTTAACTTGCGCTAGAATGTTCCCTGATGTGCAGCCGTGGGAAGTTATGGAGATTTGTCGGCACTGCAAGTTACATAGCCTAGAATCCAGTTCAGCTGATTTTGTGTTTTATGTTGAACAGCTAATAAGATGGAGAACCGAAGTTGGAAATACCAGGTTAGTCATGTTTAATATACAGCATAATAACAGTTCGACAAGAATGTATTACCCAGTAGCTTTCATTTGAATAGTTAAGCTTTACCATAATTAGAACCACCTCGTTCAATGCAATAAACAGTACCGCAGGAAAGTACTGCTTAGCTTTTATTTGAATGATCGCACTTTAGGATTTCATCCACAGCATAGTAAACGGCACCACAGGAAAGTACTGTGTAGTAGCTCTCATTTGAATGAACACACTGTCGGATTTCATTTGTGATAAGGAACTGTGAGTACAACTCAAAGGGTTTTACTTACATGTTATAGCGATAGCTATCCTTATCCATAGAGGAAAAAGGTAAAAACCAACATCACACACCTCAACTAGATACATGCAGTAAATGATAATTTTTCTTGTTATACTTTTTTGCTTTGAAGACAGCAGACTGTTAGGAAGCTTTGTGAAGATATGAGAGTCACAAATTGGTGGTTTCACTGCTCCTTGATTGCAGACTCGACAAAAGAAGCCTTGCACTGTCAGCAGTGTGGAAAACCAAGGTCAAAAAAATATTTTTGTAACGTATCCTTCTGTTAAATAGTTGTTGTTGTAAAGAGCAATTTTACAAATTAATTGAAAGTAATTTTATACATGAAAATCCAATCGCCCTGACTAGAGTTGCTGTCGAGCTAAATGTAGCCTGTTCCAGGCTCTGAGATGAGGCTGTCCGATATAGTCGGGTCCGCGGAATTGAGAAAGCGTGAACACGAAAATAAACGGGGGAAACTTTTCCCTGATCACGCGTTCATATTTTCGCTTGCCTTTCACTTACGCGTCATCCTTACTATCTGAAAGCCTGGAACAGGCTAAGCTAAATGTTGCGTAGTACGCTGATGGTCGAAAACGTGTTATCAAGAATTAACACTTTCAAAATATTTCTATCTTGAAAAGATGTATTCTGCGATGTCTAACTCCATTTTGGTTATTTTAGGCGGAAGAGACACAATTTTGCCTCCGAAATTTCTTTGTAATCAAACGCCTACAGATATAAATAACACTGGATAACAAATTGTCAGCGGGAGAAAATAGAAAATGAAACAATGTACTCGAGGTTAAATTTTAGGATTTCAAGACATAAATAAATTACAGTTTCGAATTGCGAATTTGAATTGTAGTTCTCCAAGGTTTATAGATGTCGCCGCTCTCGTTCATTTCAAGATCATAACGCTATTATTAGTTTCTTCTGTGTTTTCGTCTCCCTTTGTGTTTCAGTTTTTTGTGAATAATTTGATGCTCCAAAGTGGATTCATTTCGCGTATTTGCTCCTTTGTTTGAGAAGAGCTGCTGGCTAAAGTTGCTAGTCAGCCTCGTACCCAGGCCAGTTCGCCTTATCTAACAAGCATGACGGGTGACGTCACATGTGAAATCGCCGGGGACGACTAGGAACGATGCTGGTTGCCAGCACAACGGCGACGGCGGAGAAAACGTGACTTAAAAAAGTGGCGGAGAAAACGTGACTAAAAATTGACTTCGTTTATTTTAAATTCGGCGCAATTATCCCAACTCACTCAGTTTGTCAAATGTAGACGGACGTTCCTGGAGTTGAATTCCTAAGAAAAATCAACAGAGAGAGAGAGAGAAATTCGTTGTCCCTAGTTTACGTACTCGAAAAAAAAAAAATGGGAAAAAAGGCAATTTCGCGTCGTAATCGTGCAGTCACGGCAAAGAAATGTACCAAAAAGGTGTTGCATGTGCAAAGTTTTTCAACGTTCTTGCTGTCGAAGCCGCCTTGACACCTAAAACTCCCTTGTTCCTACTCCAGGTGAATGGTGTTGATACTAGTTCACCTCAGTACCCATTGATATACTTGGTTGAAAGAGACGATATGAAGTTAACGCAATAAAACTAGGGTATGGCGAGGAGTGGTACCCAGACTGAGGGATAAGAATACTGTCTTTTGTCTTTTTTGTGCATGTAGACCTGGCTCACACAAGATCACGTGGCAAAATGAGGACCATTTGCAGCAGCTTATTGATTTTCTTTGTCAGAAGGACTCGTCAGAACTCAAGGTTTTCATGGATTTGTGCCGGAACCACGGGTAAGTAAAAACAAATCCAATTTCTCGACTCAATTCGTATAGCATACGGTCTAAACGCCTTGTTGATAATTAGAATCTTTAGAATGCTTGGAAATGCTGATGGTTTACACGCTTGCTTTTGAGCCCTTTAAAAAACTTCAATGCTTTAGATACACCGGGGACATGAAAGCAGGGTGTAAAGAAAGTCAGTTTTTCAGCTTGCCATTCGGACAAGCTGTAGCTAGCAGGTACTAGCCCACAAGTCATTTCAACTAGCCCCAAAGCCCTTTTTGGTCAGCAAGATTGATTACAAACCTTCTGTAATTTGAATTTCCCCCCAAAACACCACTTGCCCGTCGGGTAAGTTAAGAACGAAAATCACTAGCCCGATAGCAAAATCCACTAGCCCTGGGCTATTGGACACAATTTTTTGGCACGCTATGAAAGAGAAATTCGTACATTTAAACTGCGGAAATAAAGATTGAAGGTTCAAAAGAAGGAAAAAAAGCTCATAGTCATATAAACAACTTCTGTGCCTGCGGGAATCACACTTGTCGTGGCGACTTTAATAAAGAGAAGCCGGTAATACTTAAAAGTTAGAAAGAAAAACTGATAAACTAGTGGCCATTGTATCCAGGACTGACTTCAAACGCTAAGAGCTATTTCCACGGAGAAAATTAATCTAATTGACGAAGATCCTTTTTATCTCTTTATTTCTGCTGCTCTTATGTCAAGAAGGCATTAACACTCGCTAGAACATAGCTATTTCAAATGGCTTACCTACAAGGTAGCCTGCTCCGCAGGCGAAACTAAAAGTCCATCTGCAAGAGACAGCGCCCAAATCCTTGTTTCACTGTTTTGGGGGCCCTGCTGTGTACCAAGATTTGAGAACGCGCCACGACTGGCTAGCGGTGGTGTCGCGAAATGTCGCCTGTTTAGTCAGGTCATACTAAATGAGGTTAGATTACGTCTGCGAGCCAGGCTTCCTTTTATACGCGGCTGCGTGGATGAAGGTCTATTGAGCCTTCTGTCTTACCGCCGTCTGAGATAGGCTTTGTTCACTTACACGACCTCCATGTGTTATTAACGGTTTCTTTAGGTACTGGTCAGGTCTAATTCGTCTTTGTGTGCGAACCGGTCTAAGACAGGAAGCACTAAAACTAGTCGTCTCGTTAAGTGACATGAAGCTGATCAAGAATCCACAGTCATGGGGTAGGTAAATTACAATGACCTCAAATTCTTAAAGGGAAAAACATGATCAAAGATTGTAGTCTTTTTTACCAAAGCTATGCCTTCGCTCCCAAAGAATGAATGAGAAACTGGAGTATCCGGAATCTGTACATGCTTAGGTGAAATCCTTATTTTACGTTTAAACTCGCAAGCCTTATCATGGGATATGCATTAAGCTCCAGCCTGCTTGCATGTAGACAATCCTTCCTACTTTTTCACATAGTTCTTGTTGTAAAACATTTGTGTTGTTAAATTTTAACTGCCGTTGTTTTTAACTCGTACAATTCATCTCTTCTATCCTTTTTCTGCTGTTTTGTCAAGGACCCCTCCCCAAGTCTTTGGATGAATGGAAATATTTGTTGGAGTTGCTTTTATCACGTGATCAGGACAACGAAGTATCATTTAGCAGCGCTCACGCATGCACAACTCTGGCTGCTTCTGATTGGCTAGCAGATCTCACGTGGAGTAACGTGACCAATCTGATGCTTGAGCGGTTGGGCGCTGGGCATACTGTCAACATACTGCAGGCTCTGCCACAGGAGACCCCACTTCTCTCAACGGATTTCTACTATTCATGTTTATTGGGAGCTGTAGTCGAAAGAAGGCAAAGGTAAAAACTGCTATGTTTATAGCAACTTACACAAGACGCGAGAAACAAAATCCATTCCAGAAAAATAGTTCATCGCGTAATTTGGCTAAAAAGTAAACCGCTTTCCGAATGTAATTTACCCTTATAGATATCATCTGCAGATAAGATCTCAACTATTTGTTCTAATCGAAGTACCATGATTTGAGTAATCGCCTTTGATTGGTCTTTTAGGAAAGGTATTTTGTATGATCGTTTCTGATTGTGTAAGAAAATCCCTCGCGTACTGTAAACGAAACCAGCCACTGATGTCTGCCTTCTGAAGTGTAATCTTTGCCAAGCTGTTATCCAGAAAGACACGCGTTGGAACACTTCGATCTAACTGCCAAATTAGGAGTTGCCGACAGCACGCGCCTTTTTTGGGTGTGATGGAGTTTGGCCAGTTTATTGACTTCTCTTTGTTATACATTATATTTACAGGACTCTGATTCATGAGCTGCTTAAAAAGCTCGACTCATATTTGTGGTCACAACGAAGCGGTGCCTTGGCTCCAAAGGTATGAAAAAGACATTTGCCTAAAGCAACTTGATAAAGGCGGCAAGAAAGAGGTGGAATGAGGATAAATGAAAAAATTAGCCGTAAAGAGTAAAGTGGTAGAGTGTAGAAGGTGTTGAGTAGGGGAATAAACTTTAGAAGCGTTCTTTCAGTAATACTGAGCAGTTATTCAGAAATTGTTTATCGCTCAGTAACACTTGTACTAACATTTATTGTACAAACGGATCACGACGGACTCATATGAACTTATTTTTTTTGCAACTTTATTTATGAGCGTCGAAAACCCACAAATCTCGCCTCAAAAAATCATACAAAATCGACTTGTACATGGTCGCCCTCGTGGCTGTAGGTGGTTTTCTGATGAAGAAAAATTACAGGCACAACTACCTAAGTTCTCAATAACAATCACTCTGAAACCTAAAAGGAAAGAAGAAAAGGCCTAAACCATAAAAAGGCTGACTTACAGAACTGTTGGACCTCAAAGTTGCTAACAATGTCCTCGCTAACGATAACACAGAACATAACAAGCAAAAAATGTCCAACGTCACTTGACGGACAAAAACAAAAAAAATCCTAATGGGAGTCGTGAGCGACAAATATGTTCAGCCAGGACTAAAGTTCCAACAGAGAGTTGAGTTCTAGCTTGGGAATTTTCTTCAATTAACTGTGTTCAGACCTTGAGTGTTCACTAAATGAGAATCGAAACGCAGCCGTCACGTGGTCCTTTGAATGCAAGTGGTCTGTTCGTCCTCACGTGCGAAGACCCCTTAGGCCCGGTTCAGACGCCGAACTTTTCATGAGCCGAACCTAATTCGAATTAAGGCCGACCTAAATTATTTAGACCGGCTGAACTGATTCAGATGCCGATCTTAATTGCAGCTGAACTAAGTTCAACAGGCGGAAAATATGCTCATTTCGGTCAAACTGCTTGCAAAATACGTTGTAATAATTTATGCGTTAGGTTCGGTATATGAAAAGTTCGGCGTCTGAATCAAAGCCGTTCCAAAGGCGAAATTCCCTGCCGGGCTAGGCGAGTAGCCAATCTACGAATACAGCCGTCTTTCCTCACTCCTCGTCCCTTGGGACGCTTCGCGGGAGAGACGTCTGCGCCTAAACGACAGAAAATCCATACTGATGACGTAAATCAATGTTTACATAATTCGAGTCTATAGTCACAGGGCTACAAATCCAAATTTGCTCTAGTTTATGTTTCTCCCGCTCTATTATCGTATTAAAAGTTATGATTTCTTCTGCGAACAAGGGAGAACAACGCTTCTTTTAGAGAAGTATACAGTCAACGAATATTGACTATTTTGTAGAAGATCCATCGCGTTCACATTCTACCTTTTATTAAGACCTTTTGGCTTTTGTCTGTTATTCGTAAACAATAGCTAAAAGATTCTGTTCCGATTCTCGACAGATTTTATTTCGTCAATATAGCATTTCTGTCGTTGAGGTGAGGACTTCGAGGAGCGAGGAGTGACGGCAGTATTCGTAAGCTAGTTGAAAACACTATCCACTGGGGTGTATCCTACTTACACGCGCTTTTCTTTGTAGTTGAACAGTTTTCGCAAAGAGGAGGAAATATGGGGTCCCAAAAGCAAGGTAACACTGACAGTAAACGCCTGTGTTAATGTTACACGGGACGATTCGCAACGACGATTTTTAGCGCAAAACAGCGTTGCAATGTTGGAACAATGTTGTAGCCATTCGAAACAATGTTGCAACAATGTTGCAAAGCTGTGTTGGGCTAAAAATCGACGTTGCGAATCGTCTCGTTTAATATCACCTTTAGTTTGAAATGTCATCCGCTCTTCGACCAACTCCCCAACGGGAAACAAGGCGCAGAGAGTCTCTCAAGTCTCTCCCGCCTTGCCGCTCGTTGAGGGGTGTGGCGAAGAGATGGATGACATTTCAGACTACTGCAGCGTCCTTGAATTGACCTTTAAGTGGAGATTTGACCAGTGGTGGTTTAGCATGTTCACGTTATTGTTTACTTTAAACAGGAGGATATTAAGCCTCAACTGGATTCCTTCTCACAGTTTAGAACTCTTGAGGATGGAGGTAACTTGGTTAATGTGTGTTATGGGATTTTATTGTTTGTTATTTGACTATTTTATTTGTTGACTTCCTATTTTTATTTTATTCTTATTTGATGGTTTCTCAATTTGAGGAACAAGAATTAGAAAGGTTAGCGAGCGGCTTTTGTTGCGGTGATTTTCCGAGTTCGATCCCCATATGTAACCTTAAAACTTTGGTTTCACTCCTTTCCCTTCCGTGTAGCTTTTTCAAATACCCGTAAAATGGGGGCCGACCTGCACCTATTCTAAACAAGGTTGGTGGTTGGCTGGGAAAACAATAGGGATGGTGACATAACAATGCCCCTATCCCTGAAAACAATAGGTACTGAAGGTTATATGAACCAATAAAATAGGAAGTTTGGATGCGTGCAGATCAATCGTAAAATGGAGCACTGATAGAGAGACTGGGGGAGGCGGTAAAAGGAGTGCCCAGTCGGCCCTATGTGTGTCAGGCTAATGAGTACTGTGACCAGTTACAGACGTAACGTTGGTTTTACCCTTTTTTCTTTTCCTTTTTACTCACTAAGATGTATTTTGTTTTCTCCTTTAGCGTCGAACTGGGGGCAAAACATTCGCCTCTCAGAGTAAGTCACCAAATATTTTAACCCGTGGCTTCGTCATTCGCCATTTCCCCTCCCCAACAGAAACCCCAGCTGCGCGAGCTTGATCTAACTGGAAGTGGGAGTTTGTCTATTTAGCGTTAGTTTTCATCCCTAGCCAGATCGATAATTTCGCAAGAATCCATCCGTCCAGTTTCCCAAGGGAACATTCGGTATTATTGTTTTGCGTTTCAGATCGAGTCTTGTAGATAGTGGCAATATATTGCTTATAATCTCCTTCTCTCCTCCTCCCTCCCCTTCTAACTGAAAACTGAGTTGTGTCGCACGCCACCGTTACTCGGGTTTTCAAGGGGAATAGTTACATGTTCCATGCGTTCAGATAGTGGTTGTGTCGCACGCCACCGTTACTCGGGTTTTCAAGGGGAATAGTTACATGTTCCATGCGTTCAGATAGTGGAGAGTGGCGCGAAATGGAGAGTGGAGGGAAAAACCGGAAGTTGAACTTCTCTACCTGCCCCACCCCTCACTGTTTTTTTCCTGCTCACTTTCCTTGTACTTGTCAACTGTTACCCTCTCTATAAAATTAAATTCTCCGAAATCTCCGCTCGACTTCTACTCGTCATTCCTTTGCGCCCTCCCCGCTATATGAAAGCCGCGAACAGGCTACGCTATATAATCCCAGGCAGAGGAGACTTACCGTCGAGTTGTTCCCTTAGATAACAACATTGTAAACCCTGAGATGCTTGGTGAGGTTTAGAAACATTTACGAGTACATGTATAAGTGCCACCAGTTCCTTTGGGGTTTGCGTTGTTTGTACTGGAACATGACAGGAAGCTGTGAGGCAGTATGTGTGCAGTGGGTTTTTTAAGCGCTATTTAGAGGTTACTAAATCCAATTCGTGGTAACGTTTGTGATGATCTTCTTTTTGGTAGCGGCGAATGTTTGGTGTGCTCACTTAAACTGTGTGAACAAATCTCGACAAGCAATCAAGGACTGTTGATGTTTGAATGCGGTAAGTAACGCAAGCCATAATTTGCCCTTTCTAGCGTTGCTTTTCTCACTGTTACCATCCAAATGAAAGGCCCTGAGTATTACTCTCCTGTGTTACTGTTTATTACGCTGTACAAGCTCGCTCTAACTTTTCAGTCTGTGGATGATACCCAAATGTGAACGCCATTGAGAATTACTTTCCTCTGGTACTGTTTATTACGCTGTAGAGGCTGAGTCCAACTTAGTTTTGAGTCTGGATGAAATCATCCCTTGTGAACGTTCAGGTGATAGCTACTAACCAGTTCTTTTCTGTGGTACTGTTTGTGATGCTGCACAAAGCGATTCTTACTTGTTAGTCCGTGGGTGAAGTCATCAAGTGAAATCATTCAAATGACAGCTACTGAGCAGTACTTTCCTGTGGTATAAACTTACCTTACGAGTCATCAAGACGTCATAGTACATTTTACACTGTTACACAGACAAACATGTACCCCTCCCCCCCCCCCCTCCTCACATTTCATTTATAAAACAGGAAAAATAGAGTAAGCTTAAACGTTAATGCATTGCTTCTCAAAGTATTACGGTTCCTCAAGGTAGACGTCGGCTTATTAGTTCGTCCTTATACTGCATTTCCTTTCAACCAGTTCGGCCACCATATTTGTGTGCCTCTAGGGGACCCTGACATGGCCTCTCCATGCTTAGCCTCCCTTCCCCCACCGCTATAAACCCGCACCAGTTGTGTTATATTGTTGTTTCAGTCATTCACGCATGGCTCGAAAATTCATGTTGAAAAATTTACTTCCAGGGCATGTCTTCCACAAGCACTGCGTGCCAGAAGTGGCTTGTGTGGTCTGCTTTCATCAGAATTTAAAAAGTCTTGGATCATGTGTACGGTTCCAGGATAGTAAAGTAGAGTAGCTACTCAAATGATAGAGCTAAAGTGGTACCGTGGTGGTGGATTTGGGAATAGAAGCCGTACGAGGGCGGCCTTTCCCCATACCCCTGCTGCAAGGGTTGGACCCGTCACCGCTCTACATCGCATGGGCAAAAAATTGAGATTAAAAAAATATCGTGCGGCACGATTTTTTGCGGGTTCTAATTTTTGCGATTTTTCCAGCGATCCGCAAACATAAGTTTCCACAAATAAAACATTTTTCCCGCAAACTTAACTCTAAATTCGCTACTCAAAAACAGAGTTCTAAGAAATCGTGTCTGTTCAAGTAAAACTTGTGTCTTTCGTTTAGAAACGAAACGGTGTACGATGAATTACTGGTTTTACATAGGGTACGCATAGCGTAGTATTGTTTAAAAAAAGTATTTACGTACTCGATAAAAAGAAAAAATTTTATTAGTGCTGGGTACTGGGTACTTTCTGAAAACCGCAAAAATTAATTCCTAGTAAGAAAAACCAATCTGTCCAAATCGCCAAAATTAGTTCCCGCAAAACACAAAATATCGCCAATCCGCAAAAATAAACTCCCTCAAAAATGTCATGTCACGCGGTACATATATATTGTATATTGTACAGTTAAGTCTTGGGAACCTGCTACAGTTGTTAGCCTTTTAACGTATCCGTCATAGAGGTGCCCCCCCGTCCCCTAGGAAGGTGTCTTTCCTACATAATGATCAGTTAGTAGAGTTGGAGTAACTCTCTTTTAGACATCATACTAGGAGAGTATGTTCCCTTGGAAACCTTTCCTGGTGTATACAGGCTTAATAAAATTATCTGTTGAACTGACACTTCTCCAAAGTTGACAACAGTGATTTTCTAGTCCGTTACAATTTCTCTTATTTTTCTGTAACATAGTTTTCAAAACAAAGAAGACACTACTTACACGTGAACGCCAGTGATTCGTTTAAGAGTTTCTTGAATAAGGAGGGACATGTCGTGTACGGGTCGACAGTTGTTTGCCCTCATGAACATAAGGAAACCGTTTCTCGCTCGGACAGCTAATGTTCTTCTCCAAATAATTCTGTTGACATTTAAGTCAAGTAATAATATTCTAAGTTGACAAATTATGCGAGACAGGTTTATTGACTATGAAATATGCCAACTGCGCCCAGTCCAGTTAGAGAAACGGACCACACGACCAGTCTGGCAGGTGCCGTCCAATTCCTGACATCCCTGGCCGAGCTGTCCGTATTCTCGTCGGCGCTTATCCTCGGCCCAGTTGTTCAAAGGATGATTAGCGGTAACCTGGGTTAAATGTTACTCAGGGTGTCTTTCTTTCTTTTTTTGTTCAAAAACATTTTCTCGGATACTTTTCTCTGTTTTGTAACACCCAATCAAGAAATTATAGACAAAAATAATTAAACTGAGTTTGCTTTTTACGCTTCTACGTGTGAATTCAAATTTTCCACTAACCCTTGGTTATCCTAACCCAGCTTCGAACAACCGTGCACAGGGTTTCTCAGCTCTTATCAGTTGTTATAGTAACTACTCCTGGGTTTGCTGTAATTGCTGTAAGGGGGTAGTCTGGTTGGTTTGGGGGAAAATGATTTTTAGTGTTGGTTTGGGAAGAGTAGAAAGTGTATACAATTGGCTCAGAGGCACCTTGTTGTGGTGGTGAACTGGTATTTGTCTACAAATTATTCACCTCTTTTATTAATATTTAGAAACCAGCAAATCCCCATGTTTTTTTTTCCGGTTTTCTTAACTTTTAACATCCCCCCTTAGTTTATACACTAGAAACAATTCGAAAAATCATCCAAAAATTCTCAAAAAAATTATTGAAACAAAAACTTCAACATAATTGATCAATTTTTTGATTAAATATAATCTTGGATAGATAAGAGAGGAAATAAACGAAAAGCATTGCCTTTTAGTAGACTGCCCCCTTAGTACACAATGATATATGTTATTTTGGATCATAAATTCTTGTCCGGAACGCATCCCTAATTAGTATCGAATTTTCTTTCCTCTTGTTAGAGTATATTTTCAAAAGGGTCTTTTAAAACGCAATCAAAGCAAATTGATATTGAATTTAGATATTAATAATTTATAATGATAGTAATAGTATGAATAGAAATATCAATTTTAATATAAAGTTGAATATGAATAATTTTAAGTTTCCAGCGCGAATTGAAAATTAATAACTGTCTCCTTCTTGATGTCAGTGTTACTGACAAGAAGAATGATCACAAATTAAGGAAGACAATCTAGGTGTAAAACACCCGACAAAGAATCGTTAATATTTTTGTGTACGTAGAATTAAAATAGGCGTCACTGCGTCAGTCAAAGAACATTTTAGTGAATTTCTTGTGGCGAGTGTTCTGAAACTGTCATACTGACCTCGGTTGTTCAAAAGATGGATAGCGCCATCCACCGGATAACTGACTATCTAGCGAATAAGTATTAGGGAAAGAAATTGGGTCATCCACTGTATAGCTTGACTTACCCACCTTACGAACAACTGGGCCCGATATTGCAGAGTTTATAAAGAACGTTAGACAGAGCAAATGTGCAATATGTCTTTAATCCATAGATGTAGAGCAACTACTGAGGGACCGATGTAACAACTCTTCAAAAATAATAGTATTTTGTCAACCCGCAGTGTCCAAGCTCACGAAATAGGCCGGCTGATATAAAAAGTAACCATTCCGACCCTAATGGATTGCTGATGTGATAAGCGAACCTTAAAGAGTTAAGGTGGTGCAGAGTACTCAATATCGCTGTTTAAGTTTATGGTGTTTACTAAGTGTAGAGCTCTCAAAATCAGCTAAAACTTGAACTTGAACTTTATTTTTATTTAAACACGGTAAATCTATCAGATAAAATAATAATAATAAAAGAAAATTACAATCTACTTTAATCTATATAAACATGATCTAAAAATTTAAGTAGTAAAAACAGAGAAAATAAAGAAATTCTGCTTTACATAGATGCCGTGTGCGTTTTATCGATTCAGTCAAAGAAATCGCGACAACCATTTCGAAAAGATTTAAGTGATTTTGCTTGCCGCAATTCAGGGGACAAGCTGTTCCAGATAACCGCACCATTATAGCTAAAGCTATTTTTCAAGAAATTGGTGCGGGGCAATGGAACAGCTAGTTTGTTTTCAGAGTTCCTGAAATTATAAGGTGGATTATATTTAGTGAAAAGAGAACCAAGATAGTCGGGCGCAAGACCATGTATAGATTTATAGACCATGGTGGCCACTTGTATTTGTCGCTGAGTATCCAACCGTTTCCAGTTGAGTTGCTCAAGAAGAGGATCAGCGCTTGTGTCATAATTGGAGAAGGTTAGAATACGGGCAGCCCGGTTTTGCAACTTTTGGAGCTTATTCGAAAGACTTTTGTTACAATGCCCCCAGACCTCGCTGCAGTAATTAAAGTACGGTTGAACTAAGGCATTGAAAACGGACTCCAGCGTGGTTCGATTAACAAAAGGCCTACAACGTTTAATTGCTCCAATGCCCGATGCGATTTTATTGGCTATTTTTTCAATGTGCATATTCCATGAAAGGTTTTCGTCTATATGCACACCCAGAGATTTAACCGAGCTAACTTGTTTAATTATGTCACCACCTATGATTAGTTTAGGGGAAGTATCGTAAGTACCTAACCTTTGCCGCGATCCAATTAACATGAACTCAGTTTTAGATGAATTGAGAGTCAATTTGTTTGCAGTGAGCCATGTATTAACATTGGATAGGTCTTGATTCATAACATCATTGATCGTTTCTATGTTGTTACTAGCGAAGGTCAGGTGAGTATCGTCGGCATACATACGTGCAACTGAATTAGACAGGCAATTAGGAAGATCATTTATGTATAAAATAAAACGCAAAGGTCCTAGAATTGTTCCTTGCGGAATGCCACAAGTGAGAATTTGACTATTTGAGAGCGAATCATTTACGAAACACTGTTGATTGCGATTATCTAGGTATGACCTAAACCATTCATAAGCGTTACCGCGGATACCATATTCGAATAATTTAGACAGAAGAATTGTATGGTCAACGGTATCGAAAGCTTTTTTTAGGTCGAGGAAAACTACTGCATTTACACTGCCTTTATCAACGTTGAAGGCCCAATCGTTAGTGGCCTCCAACAAGGCAGTAACAGTTGAGTGGAGCGAACGAAAACCAGATTGTTGGCTGGAAATCAAATTGTTTTCAGTAAGATAACCGTAAACCTGGTCGTAGATGATACGCTCAAACACCTTAGCTACTATAGGGACGATAGAAATTGGGCGATAATTGTTTAAGTCGGAGTGATTTCCCTCTTTGAAAAGTGGAGTAACTTTTGCGCATTTCCATTCCTGAGGGAAAATACCTGATCTGATGGACTGATTAAAAATAGGATCAGCAATCAGATCGGCGCATTCCCTAAGAAGTCGCGCAGATATCATATCTAGGCCTGTGGCTTTCGATTTACAAAGCTTAGACAAAAGCGAGAACACTCTAGAAGGATTAGTACATTTTAACTCCAAACGTTTGTCAGTTCCCTCAAGGTAATGTAGGTGTGATGGACCTTTATTAGAATAAATCTGGCTAGCAAGCTTGGGTCCAATAGAAGAAAAGTGATCGTTGAAGGCATCGGCCAGCTCAGGAGGGCCGTAAATAGAGTTACCGTTGCTTTTGATTTCTTTTATGCAACAATTATTAGTTTTCCTTGACGTGAGCTCATTTACAATCTTCCAGGTCTGGCGCGAATTGCCTTCGTTTTCATCTAATACCCTTTTATAATAGAGCTCTTTTGCTTTTTTAATTTCGTTATTAACTAGGTTGCGACATTTTTTAAATTGTAGCCAGTCATTAGCATCCTTAGAACGCGATGCTTTCAATTTAAGAATATCTCTGTCATGCATTGGTTTCTTTAAGTAAGGTGTGATCCAAGGTGACTTTGAGGCGCGAGCCCGTTTTACATGAAGTGGGGCATGCTTGTTTACGCATTCCAGGAATAGTTGTTTCCATGCAGCCCACATTAAATTAGGATCAGAATAATTTTCGATGTTACTCCAATCCTGTTGACATATATCGTTGCGAAAGTGATCAGAGTTAAAATTCTTAAATTTCCTATATCTCAGGGTAGTATGCTTTTACGTTGTCGATTCTATAGAAACTTTACGAAAGGCGTAAACTAAACTGTTGTCGCTGATGCCTATATGTGAGACCCCTGAACAGACGACCCTATCTGGAGTATTTGTAAAAATTAGATCAATTAGAGTAGATGATTTGTCGGTAATTCTAGTATATTCGGTTATTAACTGATCAAGGCCGTAAACTTCAGCAATATTAGATAAGATATTTGTACTGTTGTCAAACTTAGGCGCGGCCATATTACAATTCAGATCTCCTAAGACGTAATATTCGATATTTTCAGAGTCTAGTTTTCCAATAAGTTCTTCAAATGGTTTAAAAAGATCAATAGAAGAATCAGGGGGTCTATACCAGGTCATAACGGCAAAAGGCCTTGATCTGGGTTTCTTGATTTCGACAGTCAGACTCTTTCCAAGTGTTCACACATTAGGTCAGAGCGAACAGAATAATTGATTTCGGAACGAATAAAAAAACAAACACCCCCTCCAGACCTACCGTTGGTAGAGCGATCGCTACGAATAGATTCATAGCCAGAAATATGAATTTCATTATCGCTTATTGTGTCATCCAATTTAGTTTCGTTTATGGCTAAGATATCGATAGGTCTGCCGGAAAGCAAAATTCGTAGTTCGTCAATGTGTGCAGATAGACTATTAATATTTAGCGAGGCTAATTTAAAGCCTCGTTTAGACGGGAGAAGTTCATGAGAAACGATTAGATTTCCAAGGTCGCAATTACGCTCTGGATTAAACGAACGGCGAATAGGTCAATTACATTCATCTAATTTATTCGCGAAGTTGTTATACATTTTGGCAATACCTGTCTCACCAAGATGAAGTCCTCCTCTATTTAGGTCCGTAGAGTGAATGTCATCGTGGCGTATGAAGTGCCACTGACGCTGATTGCAGAATTTTCGAAGCCTTTCAGAAGCTATTCAGAAGCCTTTTCGAAGCTATTCAGATGGAAATCAGCTCTTTTTTTAATTATCAGCAATCACTCTTTTCAAGTCTATTTTAACCAAAAACAAAGGAAGATGAAATTTCAGTTGTTCGACTAACACCATGGATTGACATCTTTGGAAAAATCACAAAAATAGCGACTTTATAAAATCGGCATTTTTGTAGTCTGGAAAGCCTTTCTGCCTATCTAGAACATCAGCAAACACTATTTCAAGGTCTATTTTAACTAAAAACACCGAAAGATGAAATTTCAATTTTTGGACCATGGGTAACCAAATCACAAGTTTGGCGAAACTGTAAAATCGGCCTTTTTCCTAGTCTGGGAAGACTTTCTTTCTATCTAGAACATAAGCAAACGCTATCTAGGTCTATTTTGACCAAAATTCCAAACATCGGCATGTTTGTAGCCTGGAAAGCCTTTCATTCTATCAAGAACAACAGCAGACGCTATTTCTAAGTCTATTTCGAATCAATACAGAGAAAGATGCAATTTTTCGACCAAAACGAAGGGGAACCGGTTTCCCCTCCCAAACCCCCCGCCCCCACCCCCCAATATCTAGTAACACTCAGACCAACGTCAACTCTGGCTCTGTTACGACAGCGCCTATACCGTACTTGAGAGGCACCTCTGAAACTATCGCACGTATACTACAACCTTACAATATACGTGTTGCACACAAACCGATAGCCACTTTACCACGACTACTTACTAATGTCAAGGACCAAGACAACGCGCAGGACAGACAGGACCATGGAAACGAAGTTGCTTTGTACCCGAATGCTTGAGTTGCCTTTACGTTGCTTGGATAAACCAGTTATAACAGCAAGAAATTCTCAGGAATTAACAGTTGGACATTTTCAGGAAACCTCTTTTACTAAGTAGCAACGCTACCGAAATTTGAGATTCTCGAGATTTAAAAGCGTTGGTTTATATGACCTTTGAGTACGTTACAAGATTGCTATTTTAACAAGGTGAAATTTCATTTCAAAAGCGCTTCGTTTTCTACGGATAACGGCCGGCCGGTTTACTGTCAAATGTGACGTCACATTTCCTAATAAACTGATGCTGCAAAACGCTTCCTACATGTTTGTTTTTTAAAAAGAAACAAAACAAAACAAAAAGACTACGAGAAAAAGAAAGTAGTCTCACCCGGCAGGAATCGAACCGGAGACCTTTGACCTGACGGGGCAACGCATTACCCATTGCGCCACGCAACCATTCGTAAAACTAATCGTTAAATTAACTGTATTTAACATTTTGGTGCCCACGAAATGAATTATTCAAGATGGCGCAGAAAATGCAGACGTACGACGAAACGAGTACCACAAGAGGTCACCCTTGAGTACCACAGGAATCCCAAGAGTATGTGTTGCGTTCTCCTAACGTCGAACGCAATAACCATAAAAACTTCATCCCAAAATATCTCATTAACGCTCTTACAGAATGTCCTTAAACTTCACGAACATCAAGGCGACAATTGGAGGAAAAAAGCTCCCGTGAACGATTTCGGAAATTACAGTTCCAAGTGCCGAGAAATACGGTTCCAAGTAAAATAGGTATAGGCGTCATTTCGTTACTATGACAACTCCGATGTCATTGTAAGCCTGATCATAGCAAATTGTCATCTTTACTTAATACAGCTGTAACGTAATTTATGCTCAAACTTGGGAGGTATTGACCCTGAGAAACCCCTTCGAACTACCTTTGAAAAAAATGAAACATCAGGGGCGGATCCTTGATTTTTTTTTAGGAGGGGGTGCAGTCGTCTCTTGCGCATGCTCTACTTCAACACCAATAAACCACATAGTTTTTTTTTTTTTGGCAGAATACCAGTAGTATTAGAAAACCGCAGGTCATATCAGGGGGGAGGGTGCGCATCCCCTGCACCCTCCCCCTACATTCACCCCTGAACATGCTTTGAACGTTGGCTTTCAAACACCAAGGGACTTGTTCAATAAGCAATTTTCAAGTCACCCAAAGCTTTTGTTTCAAGTCGAAACTAACTGCGAAGCTATTGATTTGAAAAAGCCTTCTTATTATCCTGCAAATAAAACAGATTTTAACAAGAAAGGTTTTCATTTAGCCTTGTTTTAAAAATGAGAGTCTTTGGAACACGGAACACTTTTTGACAAAATCTTAATGAAACTATTTTGTCACCTAACACACACTTCAAAGCTGGGTACTTAATGAGTAGAAGCAAGAGATGACACATGTACTGCATGTACTGAAGTAGCCTAGTACGGGGTGGTTTACTTACCAATTGTAAGTTCGCATTTGATTCTGATCCTCGGCTGCATGACCTTTAATACTCTTGAACTTGAGCTTTTACACTTAATATTCTAGTTCTTTATGGAGAACTTATACCATCGTCCTTTCTAAAATCAATAAGTCCCTCCCCCCCCTCTTAAATGCGCCCTCGTCTAGTCCCCCTCAAATGGGCTTGAAATAAATAAGCCCCCCAGAAGCTTAATAGAGGATTTACAGTACTCCTTGAAAAGGTAGGAAAAATTTGAAAATTATAGTTTCAATTAAAAAAATTGGTAGGTGGAAAGATGCACCCATTATATTTTTATCTTTAAAAAATTGGGAAAAAAATGAAAATTGAACAGGCGTTTTTCTTTTTCACTTAATTTCAACTTTCAAAACACGTAATGTATATTTAATTTGCATTAATTTTTTTTATTATTTCAGTTAGGAGACGTAAGAACTTGAAAAAAAAAATCGTCTGTTTTTTTTTTTTTTTTTTTTTTTTTTTTACAGTGGCTATATTTAGTGTTGTTGCGCTTTTTTTTACTGTGGCTATATTTAGTGTTCTTGCGCTTTTCAGAAATTATTTAGCTTGGTTTTGCGATCATGAAGGTTTTTTGAAGTTTCCAACATGAAACCTATGAATACGTTAGGCTAAGCAGTTTTAGTACAATTTTACTAAAATGCGTGGGCTCTCCATAGATTCTAAAAGCGTCTAGGCTTGGGATGACTGTGTAGCAACATGCCGGTCAGTTATGCTTTTACACATCTCTAATACTGTTCACTTTTTTGGCAACTCCCCACCTCCTCACCTCACTTAGCTTCCCACCGCAGACGTTCTTAAGGGTTCGTGGGGCAGGAGGGAGGCTACACCTCGCCTCTAGCTCCCCCGGCGTCTCCCCAAGTTTCGACCGAGGGGAGCTTGGGACCAGGGAAGGATGGCGTCTGCTAATAGCGCCCTTGTTAATAACAATGCTCAACGTCGAATCGAATGCGCAAGGATTCTGCAAGAACGCGGCTTGGTCTTTCAGATCAGTGGTCTATTTTCTTCTGGATCATTTAACCGTGACTAAAAGAAAATACTTTATTTTGAACTAAAAGGATCAGCGTAGTGGCTGTTTTGTTGGAACCACTTTTTGAGGGGGGCGTAAGGGGGGTACGAATACCGCAAACCGCACATGGTAGCGCGAGAATACCGCAAAACCGCATCAAAATTTAGCCAAATGCGGAAACCGCAATTACAAATGGGAAACAGTTGAAGTTGTCAATACGACAAATCCCCCTTTCAAATAGAAATAACATTTTTATGTCAGTGTTTCCAAATCAAGGTGCGTCGAAATCAAGCGTGCGATAAACATAAGATCATCGCACTCGTTTAATTTTGTTCATAACATGTATACGTTTACATAAATGATATAACGGGGTTACTTGGGTTAATTTTTGCTGGGTATGTGCCCCTGGCTTCTCAGAGCCCATACTCCATTATAGTCTATTCTGTGGCCAATTATAGACCCCATCTTAGTCACTTTTGGACAAATATTTAATTTTCGCGATCCCAGCTTAGTCGCTTTCTATTTTTATGAATTGACAAATTTTAGATTGAATGAAGAACACTTAACTTTTCATCTTCAGTACAAACCTTCTGGCACGTTTGCTAACCGTAAATATGAAGAACTGTCTTACCCCTAAAAATCAGAAAATGCGCGACCCCATTCTAGTAACTCTACTGAAAATGCGACCCCATAAAAGTCACTCCAATCGTGAAAATGTCGTCCCATCCAGCGGCACATCCTTATTAGCCTGTTATAAGAATGTAACCCCCACCCCCCCCCCCGCCCGGGCTGCCATGCTACGTAGGCTAAGCACACACGAATACTTGTACATTCTATATTTCTGCATGCACAACGAGAAGGACGAGTAGTAATCTTTAGACCACACCATCTTCATAGATTATCTTTCGACACTACGAAATTTATAACGACCTCACTGACCTAATTATTTGCTGGAATATCTGACTGATCCCTTAGTTGACCCTCTGGATCGCTCGCCATTGTTTCGCGACTGACACGAAAGTGGCGGTAAGATTGGTAAGGGACGGACCGTTAGAAAAGTTATGGGGGGGGGAGGGGAATTTTCGAGCCGCAGGAATTTTTTTTCGTTATCAAATTCCTGGTATGAATTTTTTTTAGGGCATAGCATGAATATTTTTTAGGGTTAATTGGCGTGCAAGAATTTTTTTCATTTAATTTTCCCTTGCGCGAATTCTTTTTTTACCCCCCCATAAGTTTTCTAATGGTCCGTCCCTGGAGGTTAACCAAGCTGACTATTCCCACAAGGTCCATGAGGTCCTAAATAATGCGACATGTTTACGTATCATTGGATAAAGAAGTTAATGCCATTAATCATATCAAGTATTAACTGAAATTACAAGCCATACGATTTGTCTGGACTGTTTGCGCAATATACGATCCTCAACTGAGCAACTATAGGAAGACACGCAGG